ACGTAATAAACAAACGCGCGGTCGACGCGCTCGACGACCCTTAAAACGCCCGAGTATATCGCGTTTGTCGAGGCTGTCGGCGACTGAACGGCACCGGCGTCATTACCCGTCACGACTCGCATTACAGTTACGTGATTATTCCAGCGCGCGCGGTCGCGCCTCCGACGTCGGCAGACGCCGTGTTTAAAGTCGAGACTGCGGATCTGAGCGCAGACAGCGTTAAAGTGTTAATTACTAATTAAGAAGGGTGCAAGCGGTGCAGCGTCAAGACCCTGCGCGCGACACCTTTTTGAACGCGCCCTCTGAATGGACGCTTACGCCCCAGCGGGCAAACGCGCGGTAGTCGCTCGCTCATCCATCCGCGCTGCGCTCATCGACGCACGAGCGGGAAGACGCGACACGCATCTACCAAGCGCGGCCACCCGCGCACGGACGCGGTCGCGCGCGAATTCTAACGCGCGGACGCTTAATGCTCTCTCGTTACACGCACTTTCACGGCTCATGCCTTCGCCTCGTGTCTCGCGTCGCGGCGTAAAGTAGAGCGTGCCGGTAGACGACTATGACGACAACCACGACAACGTCGACGACGACGACGGCATTCCTCTCGAATTCTTTGCCGGCTGCTTCCGCACCCTTCCACGGCGTCCCACGCGACCGTCGATACTCCCTATCGACCTTGCGCCCGACGGTGTCGCTTACGGATAGTAAACTCAGACTGGAAAAGCTCTTCCAGTTCCTAGACTTCACACCTCTTTGGGTTGTTATTTATTCCGATGACAACGTAAAGCTTGCTTAATCTTACCCCTCCGTATCGGTCTCTCAGATTGACATGATACAAAACCGAAACTATAAACGTTACTACTTTAAATAGGAACTAGAGTTCATACCAAAATTGAACTTTTGACTATGCTATTTCCTTTATTTAGAAAGTTTCACAGATTGAATATGAATCTTTATATATCAGGAAATTATGTTAAGGAAGAGATTAGCGTACATTGAGAAGAAAATGTTTAGTATTTATCACACATAGAAAAATACTTTCTATTCAATTAGAGGAAAAACATTTTTTTCATTAAATTCTATTGTAATATTAATGATAAACAATTACATATGCACGTTAACGTTACCATTTTCGTCTAATCGGAATAAATGACTAATTTTAGTTAGATCAGCTATTATTTCCTTCAAATTTTATCTTGATCATCATTGTCTCGCAGATTTTATCACGAGGAATTTCGCACAAGGTCATCAACAACATATTTATCGACCGTATCCGATTGCAATCGCGCGTAGAATAAAATTCCAATTATCGTCGAAAATCTCTCATGTTTCTCGTTTGTGTCAGACTGAAGATTCCGTAACCTTTGACAACGTCTTCACTTTGCGAATAGAGAACAGATCCGTGAGTTTTCTGCCGGTCTCCCGTAAGGGGGACGCCGTGGGAAAGTTTCAGCAAGAAAACCGTGATGCTCAAAGGATTCAAATGTTCAGGGTCAGCTCTGGCGTCTTCGAGGGTGCCGCCGCCGGTGTTGCCTATTGTTGGAGGTCGACCGACTTGGCATGACCGTTAAAAGGGGCTTGGCTGGCTGGTTCGGTGGCTTAAGAAGCACGTTCTTTGAATAGAGATCGGAAAGGGGGAGACCGTAAGGCGAGAAGACGCGCGCCGCGATCTACTTTGCAAACTTGCGGAAGGTGTACGACTTCTCGCCGCACGTCTGCCCGCCCAATTGCTCCAAGTCATAATGCAAATCTTATATCTTCTCATTGAGAGACACGTCGTTTGTTTTCAGTCGTCCTTTCTTGCCGCTCCTTTGATATTTCGATTGTAATTTTTTTTTTGGGAGGAGGAGATCGACATTTTTTGCTCTGGGTCGTATTGAACATCGGTTTCATCACAAGATTGCAAATTCAACGCTCGCGCCATGGCAAACATAATATTCGCGAGTGGACCAGTGGATCAGTGCAGAGTGACGCGGATATAAAAAAATATCTCCATGTGCCGGGAAGTTTCTCTTTTAATTGGTGCTCTCTCGCGTATACGAAACATCGCAAAAACGGCATGTTGCAAAAGCGATCGTCAATGAAGATCGCAGTTGAAGGAGACATCGCGTCGACAAACGCTGTTACTATTAACCGCTTCAATACGCGACACTTCAAGTCTGTTTAATCTGCTTGCCTCTTTTTTTCGTGTATTTACGGTAGGGCAAAAAATATCGTCTTTAATTTGAAAGAAAATATAACCAAATCGCATATAACATCTTCTTCAGTTCTTTATCTTGTTTCTTCGAGCCTCAAAACTCAGGACACAAATATTTTGCGAATGTTAGTGCTTTCCAGACTATGAACTTGAAATTTGAATCGCCTCGACCACGGATATAAGAGGACCGTGAGAGATCCCATAAGTACGTTCACTTTAAAGAACCTCGACGTCGTAGAGCCAATCTCCATACGCTCCTCATTCTTTTTCGTTGACGAGGCTCATCGTAATTAGATGCTAATAATTAGCACCCTTACGGAGACTTGCGCCTTCTTTCATTTTATCCACCTTTCGTTCCCTTCTTCTCTCTCACATACATACCCACTTTCTCTCTCTCCCTCTCTTTCTCTCTCTCTCTCTCTGTCTCTCGCTATCTCTGTTTCGTCCTCTCATTGTCGTCCCGTTACAACGAGGCGCAAGAAGATTCCCTGAGAAGAGCATATTATTATCCTAATTATACAATACTATAATGAATGATTCCATGACTCGCCCTTTAGCACTCGCTCTCGCTTGCTCGCGCGTCTGTCATTCGCACCGTTTCTCTCTTTCCTTCCTTCCCGTCCCTCTTGATGGTTGCTCTTGCTCTTATCCTCTGCACTTGGTGGTCGAAGAGTGGCAATTCTAGCACTCGGGCTTTTTGTCAAACTGACTACGGAACTAGCGCTGTCTCCCTCGCTCTCTCGCACCCCATTATGCGGCCAGTCTCGTTTCTCGTTCCGCTTTCTCTCTGTCTCCGGGTGTCTGTTTTAATTAGGCACTTCGTAGATACGCGAATACGTGTGTATGTAAGTGTATGTGTGTGGGGTACGCGCGCGCCAGGATATACGGCGCTAACGTAAGTACGTAAGCGACGCAGTCTACCACTACCTCCATCACATTCCGCCTATACTCGGCGATCCGACGAGCTTGAATGCGGTCGATGGGTGGTTGAGTAAGGATTATAGGCGCAGGTAACACATGCATAGGACGAAGTCGGGGGTGGCTCGCCGATGGGTGGTGTGACGGTGACGGTTCGAGGAGATGATGAGGGATGGGTATTCGAAAGGATGATAGAGGAACTCCTCTTTCGATTCTTCCCACCTGCGTCACTTTCTCCGACTGACTGCTGATAAGAGCACGCGAAATTATCTTAATTGGCAGTAAAGCCAATTCAGAGCGATCGAACGAGGAGAGGGAGAGAGAGGGAGAGCCTCCTTTCGCTCCTTTCCCCCGTCTCCATCTCCACGTTCGCCGTCGCTATTTCTTTCAGTGGCTCTGAATAGGGCGAACGTTGCGGAAGATCGCGTTGTTTTCTTTCGGTGAGAGGAGCGAGCGAGCGAGATCCCTGACCCTTCGCAATCTCCGAGCTCTGATAGGTGAAATACGACGCGATCCGCCTCGTCGCACACGAGAGCTACGAAAGTAGACCAGTTAGGATCTCGCGGACGGAAGTATACGGGACGTTTGCCGAACGGATTGGCATTGGCAAAAATCTCCCGCTAACTTAGGTCGCTGTAAATGTAAACGTCCTAGTCTGTTCTCTCTCGCAAACGAGTCTCCGATCCGCCAGGTGGAAGCAATCTTAAAAATTGCTCCCAACGGCACTAAACGAGACTCGTAGGCGGTTGCTTTGCATTGTCGAGTATTCAGCGACGATGAGTTGTACAAGCTGCGCTCTCGTTGAGTCGTCCTCCTTTGCATCCCCGGGGGATCCCAAGTGCAAGATCGACCATTGCGCGCTACCGGCTCGACAAAGACACTCGGCCGATGCTAATATGCGCCCGAAGATTGTCCTCGACGACCTGGGGGCGTAAGGTCGACGAAACGGGAAAGAAAAAAAAGGGGGAAAACGTAAATTGCATCTTCGAGACCTCATGGCAAAGTTCCCTGCTCGTCGTATCCGTAATGAATAAGGCAGGATTAAGAAAAGTTCCTAACTCGGTAAAAAACAAAGACAACGCATTCCCTGGATGGAGACATTGCGAGAGCTCGCACAAATAGAGCGTGCACAACAGAATTTAAAGTAACTACAAAGAGTCGAGTTGAACTTTGTTAATTAACAATTAACACCCAGTGTGTTCGTCTCTCCACTACGACCGTATTCCTACTGGGCGAAAAGAGCCAATGAAGGCTCAGGTCAGCTTCTGACGTTACTTATCCACCGGCTAACCAGTCGTGTTTGCTTAGTCGCATTAATTGATGCACGTAGAGATATCTCGGGAAACGATCACGACATTTCCTGCCGCAGGTCATTATGCGAGCGGGGAAGCAAGCGGCGTGATTTTGCATCGATTACACACACCGACTGGAAGTCGCGAGGTGCTATCGAGTCTTCGTGGCTAACGTCGACAACGGGTTTTACATCATCTCGTTGCGTCTGTCCGCTCGACGTCGAGGAGAGCTCGCGTAGAGCTCTCCACGTGCGTCGTCCCCTCCCTCCCTTTTTTTCGCATCTTCTTCCGCTTACGTCAGACCATTGTTAGTATCGATCTTTAATTAATTATCGATGACGCATTGGTGCTGTCGCCGTCGCGGGGAAACCAGGCGAGACAAGAATCAGCCGCGATGACGTAGAAAGATTTATTATTAATTGACACTCTGATACGCGTACCGTGCAAGCCGTCGCGCTCGTGTGAAAGCTCATATTTATTAATCATATTCAGTCGTACTAAAGTCACATTAGATACATGTTATCGCGCATTAATAGAGCGCAGAGTAAGCTACGAGTATCACATAATCATGTTCCCTCTTGTGTTTGTTTCAGGGAGTTCTACTACATCCAAATGGAAAAATACGCGAGACAAGCAGTTTCGGAGGGCGTGAAGAACGCCGAAGACCTCCGAGTCGGGGGCGACTCGGAAATCTACCGGGTTCTCAACCTTCACTACAACCGTAATAACCACATTGAGGTATGGGGTCCCCAGGTGCGCAACACGAACACGCACACGCTACATTTTATTTTATTTCCCTCTCGTTATTGTTTCGCGAATTGAGAAAAAAATGAAAAAAATGAAAAAAAAAAGAGAGAGACGAGCATGTGTTTCCTCGTAATAGAGATTTCCGACGCTAGTCGTCAAGATCGATTGGTTCCGCGAGATTAAGCTTTCGATGTTTGTACCATTTACCGTACGTTTTCGTTTATCGTACATCTTTCACGTGCGTCTTTGTGGTTTAATGTGATTACAAGTGTGTTTGCACGTTTCATATGATAAAAAATATAGATATAAGGCATTTGATACTTGTGCTGAGAAATCGAAAGATTTCTACTCACGCTATCGATCGCGTGAAGGATTTGATACGACGAGTGTATCTACTGCTCGTTCTAGAAAACGGAAAAATTAGTCTTTAAGTTTGGGAGAATAAGTTTGCATGATTCTTCTCAAGCAGTTAAAACTTGGATCACCGTTGTATCGAATCTTTCTCGTTAATAGTAGTAAGTTTGTAAAAGTAAATGATTTCTCTGATATCATACTCTTCTCGTTATACTTTCAATATCAATCTGAAATTTCACCTTCCATTTGATACTATATATGAAAGATAAATAATACAATAAAGAAATATCTAACGAATCAGATCTAACGAAAAACTTCAAAGCTGATGTTACAAATTTTCAAAGAACTATGAACTTTTCATTGCTGAAAATATCGCATGTCGTGACACTCGCGACGAGGAGTTGCTTGTCGCGAAAGCCGAAGAACCAATATGTGTTTACGGTTTCATCATCGCAAACGTGATTGCAATGATGCTAATGGCGATCCGGAACTTTCAGGTGCCCAGCAACTTCAGGTACGTTGTGGAACAAACGCTGAAAGAGTTCTTCAAAGCGATTCAGGGCGGCAAGGACTCCGAGCAGAGCTGGAAGAAGTCCATCTACAAGGTGATCTCGAGGTTGGACGACCCGGTACCGGAGTACTTCAAGAGCCCAAACTTCCTGGAGCAGCTTGAATGAATCAGGAGGTCGCGTGGCTCTTGCTCTTCGTGGTGCGCGGGCTCGCCTGCGCTCGTCGGCTCCCGATAATCAGGAACGACCAACGAGAAAGGATCGCATCCGCCAGGAGGTACACGTCCTTCGCGTAGTGCGCGTTCAGGTACCCTTAAATAACATATCGCAAAAATGAACGTGAGAGAACGAGGGTTAGGATGGGAGAGGAGACACGGACTAAGCCAAGGAACAGAGGCACCGTCGACGCGTCCGTGCGCAACGGCGGCGTCAAGGTGCCAACGAAGGATCAGGCTGTGACTAAATGACGAATCAAACGGGAGAGAAAGATAATAAGAAAGAGATGGAGGAGAGACACAAACACACACTGTAACACCGCGTGAACCGACGGCTGACGAAACTCGAAAGCCGCGAGGTGTCGAATGCCCATCGACGTTCCTCTTGTTTCAACCGAACGAGCGTGAGAAGGTGATCTTGGAACGAGACGAAGAAGCACGACGAATGCGTGGTCAACGAACGGCGAGGATAGATAGCTTCTAATGTCGATTTTGTCCGATCTGTTTGTTACTTAGAGTAATCAATTCGTTATCGCCTAATTTTACATCACACGATAAGGATAGGGGTTTAAGAACAATGACACACTGCTGCTGGGGTCGTATTTACATGGAGAAAGAGGGAGAGAGACAAAGACGTCCGGAATATTCGCGAGAGCGTCCAAAGATTGTCTAAGTCACGCCGAGAAGACACACGGCGGTTCCTCTTCTGGCTCAAACTCGAGACCCGGAAGCGGGACCTTCGTCATCGTCGTGAGGAACGACGCCGGATGGGCAGAGATATATACTTCCCGTTCCCGCGCCGTTCCCCGGAGAGAAGCGATAAATGGATTAGAAGAAAGTGTGCTCGCGCTATTCCGGACAATCCTACTCTAAGCTCTGTGAAAGTCGGCTTCGGTTTTGCAAGGATCGATGCTCTCTGATGGAACTCCGAAAGACTTCCTATCGATGCACGAATATCGGATCTACGACGATTCGTGCTTCGATAAGAAGGAATTCTCTCACTGAAACCTATATGAGCCTCTTTCTTTCAGAAATAATTCGATCAGTCCGACGCGAGGTTCACACCTCGCCACTTTTCTACCGACGCCGAAAGGACGTCACTTTCCCCCCACCACCTCCCAAACCCTCCTACACACATATTGTACATATAATTTCTCTCCTACATGTATACAATCGATCGACCAGGTTCCAGATCGAAAACGCTTGGCTATTAAGTTACACTGCGCGTATCAGCCGGATAAGGAACGGCGCGAGAGAACGCGATCGGCGCGTTGCTCATGTCGGTACCAAAGAATCGATGGTTTCGGCGAGAACCAAAACGCGATAATACGTCGGACGGACGATCGAGCGAGCGCGACCGGTCTCGCGACGATCTCTCCGTACGAAGGAAAGAAATCTCCGTTCCTATATCTCTCTGCCGAGGATGAAATTCCTCCGCCCATTTCGTTCATCCCGTATTTCTTCTTTCGCCCGACGAGCCGGCACATCCGCCGCGCTCATCGGACCCGACGACAACTAGCACGTTTGTACGAGCGCGTACGTCGCATCGAGAGAGTATCGGTGTGCACGGGTCAATATACATAACTGTTTTTTTATTAATGATTGATTGTATAAACGAGATTAGGCTAATCGCGGTGAGACGAGATCAGCAGTAGTACGGGCGACAAAAAAATAACTGTAGAATCGGATGTAGCGTTCGCGAGTACGAATTGTATTTACGTCGCCGGCGACACTCTTCTAACTGTTAGCATAGCGTGGGCAACACGGAGGAGAGATAAAATATATATATAATCGTGTGCGCCGGCGCGTAATTATATAAATATTAGACTTTCGAGAGAAAGAGAGAGAGGGAGAGAGAGAGAGAGAGAGAGACGGATGTTGGCGCGATTAAAGTAGCGTAAAGAGGACGCGTGACGGAGGGTTGCACAACCGCGCGTCCTTTTCTCCACTTGTACACCCCCGATCACCCACGTACAGACTTACGCGACACCGACACACGCGCAACACGCATATATCGTTAGTCACTTTTACACGTATATTAACTCACACGTTCCACGCATGAAAGACATGTGCACGCGCGTACGGGCGCGCGCGCACAAACGTGCGAAAAAAAATCGGAGACGGCGACCCTACATTTTCTTACTGCGACTTCTTCTCGCTAGAAACTCTTTTGTAGATATATTACGAGACGATATGAAAGAAAAGTATTGGAGATAAATTTTCGGGTGGTAGCGAGTGCACATAATCTAACCCACTTATTTTTTTTTTCACTATTATTCTCGCTACTACGTGCACTATTATTATTATTATTATTATCATTATTATTATATTGCTATTATTATTATTGTATTATTATTATATATTATTATTAATATATTATATTATTATTAGACTCACACTCTATTATCTGTATCAACATGACAATTTTATAGCATGGAACGATTATCAATATTATTATGTTCACACATCGTTGAAATTGTCATATACAGAGAGAGACTTTAGTTAGTTTAAATTTAAGTCTGCCTTTTTACCTACACAGAACATCCCCCGCGCCGTTCTTTCATGTCTCCAGTTTCATCCTCATCTTATTCGCGATCTCCTTCAATTGCCTTCCTGTTCCCATCCCTTCGCCACAACCCTATCTATCGCTTCGTGCCTGGAGAATTATGTTCTCTTTATCTTTAGTTATTATGTATTTTTAGTTATTATATATAATAACGCGATTACACTAAAATTATATCCGTAATATATGTACCGGGCCGTACACGAACACACATATAGAATATCTTTTTGCAAGCGGTGAGTCTTAACCTAGTCACGAGTCACTATTTTTTAATTGATTAATGGCCGATTTATTGATTATTATTTTATTTATTAATTACGACAATAAAATGAGAAAAATGGATTTAATTTGCGCCTGATTTTGCGCGTAAACGTGATTTTACTTTTGTTTGCATTTTCGACCGATCTCTGTGCATTATCCTCTCCTAATTTCAGAAAGAGATTGAAAATCGTTACGTCGACGTAAATGGAGAAAAAAATAAAACAAAGGGGATGAAAAGGAAGAGAAAGGAAAACGGTATTAATTTGGCATACTCGGAATATTCTCGACTGCCTTTCCGGCCTATCTTTTTTCCTAAGAAGGTGTGTGAATCGATTGTGACGTACCATCCGTGAATTTGCGCTCGGCGAGCTCAACGAGGACAGAAGCGAGCAGCGAGCCTTCTTTCGTGCGAGCTAGAACGCGCGCGACCCAATTGAAGAAATGGGAAAACGAAATTTGGAAAATTTCAATTTTTATTACGTAATACTAGACACTTTGGCCTAAAACTAGTAGCAACTCCTTCGGCGCTGGCCTAAGATTTTGGTCTAAACGTTCATAGCGGCACAAGAAAGGGATATTAGACGGATATTAGATGGGCGGCAATGGGTGGGCGATAATTTGAGTATAATTTTAAAGAAGATCAATGAGACGCGTTACACTCGCTGACTCGCTCGTCGCAATTCTCGGATGATGGGACGTTCGCGTCAAGGCAGTATTGGCTCGGATGGAAAATTACTCCTCTAAAATGTTAAGTTGTCGTTCAATTTGATTAACCATGCCAAACTACTTTGCACATTTTACGAAATCGAATTTCTTCGAAGATCAGACTTATAATTTATCTGCGAGTCGCGACACTTGTCTTTATGTACTTTTTGATTATTTTCACTATTTTGACTACCAGTTCGCACGATCGAGAATCTACTCTTTGTCAATCCGTGACAAAAAATATAAAGTTAATGTATGTCTCAATATATCAAAAGATCGAGGATACTTGAAATCTAAAGTTGAAATTATTCAATTCTGATTATGATATCTTTAAGCAATCTCCGATATACACTCTGCATTACGTTTAGATTTGAAAGTCCCGTCGATGTCTTTCACGTCGATACGCGTCAACATCTTCTCAACTGCCGTCAGCAATACTATCCATAGAATAACAACAGTACATCGCGTGATTTCTTTACGGTAAATCTCGACACTAAGTACACACAATCGCTACACAGATTATATTCTACATAAATATTACGCCATTGACAACCCAACTCGACCTTTACGATCGTTCTCATTCTTACTTCGATCTCATCGAAGTTGTGAGAACACATTTATTTCGCGTTCGTCGAAGAAGACATATCCAAGATCATTTCGTCGTACTAAAACTGATTTTTCCACCGCATTGAACATTATCTGCACTTAGTATAAAGAACAGGTCACATTAAGTACGCTGCGATATTGAAAATCGACATTTCCATAAATTATATCAAACTGAACACTCGTGGTAAAACTGAATATCACGACAAGATTTTGTTCTTTCTGGCAATTAGTACCAAGGAAATCGCAGTGAACAACAACCAAGACGAGACTACCTATCGCGAATTAGACCAATCGTTTGACCATTTCTAATTCGCGTTCTTCGCCACACGACCACAAGCTTCGGAGGAGCCGAACGATAAACTCACGAAGACCAAGCCGGTTTTGCATCCCCGGTCGCCTTTGCCAGTCGACCGGCTGAAATGTCAGAGGAATTTCGTATGGTCGCTTGTTCGTTAAAATCGGGAATAAGGAACCGTTACGACGCATAAGTAGCTCTCGCGTGATCCTTCGAGGCCGCCTAAAGGCACAAACGAAAACGGAAGAGTAAGTCCGCTCTATATTCCTCCGTCGACCGAGAATCGAAGCTTCTAGCGCGAAGGACAAATCCTTTACATAGATCTCACTGCAGACACGCGCGCTCGAGCCGCGAGAAGACTCGGAACTTAGCGGGAAAAAAAGAAATGTATCTAAAAACGAATGATAATGAACGACCAGTCAAACCGATGGCTGGTCCACCGCGATCGCCGAGATTCTCTCATCGATGGGAGAACCAAGCCGCGCTCCTTATCTCCCGATCGATGTTACCGATCCCGATCTACTGACGCGACATAGAATCGCGGGACGAAACTGGCGATGAACAGCGTGAGCGTAGAGAAAGGGATGAATTCTCAACGATTTTACGGATGCGCGATACAATGAGAACGAAACGAAAACGTAAGGAGAGACAGACGGCGAGATCGACTAAACGTAAGAGATGTATAAAAAAAAAAGAGAAATAGAAAGAAAAAGAGGATGCCAATGGCAATGAGACATGCATTTCCGAAGGAGGAGAGGCAAATGATCAGGAAGGTCGTCGACTATTTCACCTACGAAGTAATTAAAGTAGGAAAAATAAATCGACTCGCCGTTTAGAAATACGTTTACGTAGCGGGGCCGACGCACGGAGAAACGAGTACACGGGACGGAACGAAAATTTGAACAAATACGAGAAAGAGAGAGTACGGAAGAGAAAATAATAAGCATACGTACATACCTAAACGCGTAAATTTTAAGGACACGTAAACAGAAGTAAGTAATAGTATTTAACGTTAACACTTGCAAGCTATTAATTATTATATAAACGATTAACTAAAGATAAAAAACGAGCGGAGAAGGTCGTATCACGCTGCAGAGAGAAAGGGAGAGAGAGAGAGAGAGAGAGAGAGAGAGAGAGAGAGAGAGAGAGAGAGAAAGAAAGAGAGAAAGGAAGAGGATACCTACTTTAAAAACACACACTAATAAACTAATTATTATTATATGATTATATTATTATTATTACGATCATTATAATATCGAGTTTGAGATTAAGCCGTGATAAACAAGAAAAATCAGTGAGAATGGGAGAGAGCGAAAGTGATACCGGAGAGAAAGCGAAGAAGACAGTATGTGGGAGTTCAAAAAGCGAATTCATTGAGAATAATAATTCCTCAAACTATTAGGAGTGTAATTAGGGTATATTTATTATGGCGGATGCGCGATTAACGATAGCGGCGCGGTAGTATACAGGAAAAAAAGAAAAAGGGGGAAGATAAAGGGGGGACAGGAAATACGTTATCTCCCCCATGACGTTTTAGCGAGGCGGAAATCGCGTCTTTCGAATTTTCGCGCGCGCGATAGGAACGAAGTGGAGGAGCGAACCCGGGAGAACGATCGAATGATAGAATGTCTGAGAAAGAGAATAGAAAGCAGAGTGTGTGTGTGTGTGAGAGAGAGAGAGAGCAAGAGAAAAAGCGAAAGAAAGAGAACGAGAGAAAGAGAGAAAAAGAGAACGAGAGAATGTGAATCTGTACACGATGGAAAGAAAGAGAGAGCGTGTGTGCAAATAGAGCGTAAATTATGTTTCTATGTGAGATCACGTGCGTAAGCCAAAAGAAGAGAAAAAAGAAAAAGAAAACTGATTGTTGACACCGAGTGAGCAAACTTTGTGTGATAATCTTGTAGTACACGTAGCATGTTAAGTCTACAATACGTTTGGTAGGGGATTAAGGTGAGAGCGACTTTCGAAAAGTCGGGCAGGAGAACGGGGAGTAAAAAAAAAAATAAAAATCCGACCGAGAGGAATCCGAGAGGTCTTCCGTCGTGTCTACCTCCCATGATGTTTCTAAAAATCGGCCGGAGGCCTGTGCGTCTCCGGCCTGTCGACATATCACCGCGTTATATGGATCGTTATTTCGTACTACTTGAGTTACAGGCTGCGCGAGACTGCCGTCGACTACTCCGGCATTCTCGGCTGTATAACGTAGAACGTGCGTTAAGTTTCCTTCGATGAGCTACGGAATGGCTTTCGGTTCAAGCTCGTAGTCTATAGTCGATCGAACCCGCGATCCAAGATGAGAGACGACGCGAGATGCCGACACGCGACCAAGGTTTCATTTACAGGACAATAGCGTGGACAGTCGATTACTCCTGTCTCGCGACCATCCTTAATCTTCTACGACCCCGAGCTCGTATGATACGCGAGTGAGATTCTCGCGGCCGCAGGACGCGTTGAATCAGTTATCCCAGTTGACTTAAATATTGACTTTATATATTTTATCGAGGATTTATTTTACAAATCCACGTCAATCTATCCCATTTTTGCATATTCGAAATTTACAATATCAATAGATTTGTTGCATTTCTGATTTCCTCAATTATCGAAATCTATTGTCGACTATTACAATTGTTCATTGTTACATTAGTTGTAACCAGACTGTGGCTGTGGACGCGACAATCTCGTCGATCGTTGTTAACAAGCCGTGGACCGTGAAAGATTGACTCAATGACACATTAAACTACTGGTTTTAATTTACAGAGCAGACGCGCCGGGAGGCTGTGCATACTCCAGCTCTCGGTTCAGCGATAACTTGCATAATGCAACAATCACACATGTACACGCACGCGTGCGCGCATTCGAGCATGCTTCTCTTCTTGGATCGCAATAGTCGATTGTAGAAAGTTTACGTAATAATCTCGCTCAAGATTCAAGAGCGTCGAAGAGAGCACCTCTCGGAAAATCCGTAGCAGTCGGGAAGTTTGGGGATGGGTGGGCGACGAGGGATGGAAGGGATGGCGGTTTATAGGAGAGAAAGAGAGAGAGAGAGGGGAATAGAGAGAAAGAGGGAGAGAGAGAGATGGAAATCGACGAAATTGTGGATGGTGTAGAAGCGTGTAGGGAGCCAAGTGTCCTTGATGCGACCGTCGTTGAAGCCACGAAATCTCGCGATCTCAACAGGTGATCTTTTTTGTTCGGACGAGTTGAACCATGCAGGGAGATAGAAGCGGATCGATGATAATAAGAGACGCAAACGACAGAAGAGGAGAGTAACATGCACGAGGAAAAAAGTCACGACTGAGAAGAAATCTATGCGAATTGCGATTTCGGACTGAGTTCGGAGCCACGGGCAAAAGACGTTCGGCGCAAACCGATCCTAGCTGAGAGAGAAAGAGAGGGAGAGAGAGAGAGAAAGAAAGAGCGAAAGAGAGAGAGAGAAAGAGACAGAGAAAACGGTGAAGCGCGAAAGAGTATGCAAGCGTGAGCGAATGCGAAGAAGAGCGATAGACGATTACGAGTGAAAGAGTACAGAATGAAATGTATCGAGAGACGAGGAGTGAATGCGCTAAAAAAGAAGAAATTGATAAAAAAGTGAAGAAATTATACAGAGAGAGCCGACCTCCTTGCCTACCGGGAGGTCCGCATATATGTATTGTAAAGTCAAGACTAGTAAATGATAAAATTAGGGAAGTGAGTTTAAGAGGAGAAATTATTAGGCCAGTTCGTAAGTGTAAGTTATTACGGAATTTTCTCCCCTCCCCAACCCTTTCGTGCACGATACTTTTGGCAAATCTTTCGCGAGGTGTGAATGTGGTAAAAGTGAGCGCGCGAATGTGAGAGAGAGGACAGCGGACACAGAGGGAAACTATTTACATGGGCGTAAGAATCTGAAGTTATGCGTGATTCGTATGATTACATGAAAGAAAGAAAGAGAAAGAGAGAGCGTGAAAGAGAAAGAAAGAATGGAAGAGATCGAGACAAGAAGAGGAAGGGATTAAAAAAGAGAGCAATCGGACAAATGGTCCGACGTCCGACTCAGTAGAGATGCAGGAGAGAAAAGAATCGATTGCAGAGAGGCAGGCAACGCGCACAACCATCGAGAATGGCAGATATCACAAATGTCATTATCCATCCAACCCTTCGGCCACCGAGAGTATGAGGAACAAAGAGCGTAGGACAATGAATCTTGGCCAATCCTGCTTGACCGAAAAAACAAGAAATTGGGTTATTCTGGTCTCTGCTTTCGCTTCCACGCTTATGTTACTTTCAGGCGCGGTTCCGCGTCACGCGCTATCCAATTGCTCGCAAAACATGCTCGCAACAGTATCCCCACGCGACGTTTCGTACCTATTATCTGACGTTTCTCCGCTAATATGTTAACAAGCTCTCTCCTCGAATGAGAGACTATCAATGTTTCGTATTACGGGAGAAATATTTCTTCTTATACAGTCTGCAATTCTTATTGCGACCCTGCGTCGCGCGTGAATCAAGAGTATGCGAGAGAACGAGAGAAAGGGAGAGAGAGAAAGAGAGAAAATAGTGAGCGAGAGTGTGAGCAAGTGAGAAGTGGCGTTAAGAAAGAAAGTGTGAATCGTATGCACGCGTGTACCAAGAGAAGCACACACGAGAAAAAAATGAGAATGAGAACATGTAATGCCTGTATTCCTGGAGTATATTACTTGCGCATACGTCTCAACCAACAGTCGTGTTAGATTATACGTATTATCGTGTAGGGAATCGTAGGTGTATTAAGACAAAAAAAAAAGAATAACTTATTTAGTAAAACGCGCGAAGAAGCTGAAGATGAAGAAGCGAAGACGAGTACTAGCAGCAAGCAACAAACAACAATAAACCTACGTTGATGTGTGAGGATGTGAGCTAGATCGCCGCGTTGAGTCTAATGAACTCCTCGGAGATGTACAACGCAGACCCTCCGGAATGAGGTGAAAAGGCGCACGACTGTCAGCCTTGTCGGCCATCTTCGTCACTTCGTCTAAAAGTCAGGATGACCGAGAGAGAGAGTGAGAAAGAGAAAGAGAGAAAGAAAGAGAGCAAGAAAGATAGAAAAAGGAAAGGAAAAGTGAAGGGAAGCGTAAAAGGAAAACGTTCGCGTCAATTAATTTCTGTAGATAGCGGCAACGAAAAACTCTTCCTCTACGTTAAAGTAGAAGCACGGACGAAAGGGTTCGAAGGACGACATGATGACGTCTCCTACGAGCGACTTAGCCGACGTAACGGGACACAAAGTGGAATGACGAAGTTGGCGACTTTGCTCGGTCGGCCGGAACGTCTTGTAAGATATTGTGGGAATTGTTTTTCTGCGCCCCGCGAGTCCGTTTTCGGTCCAGGAACGGGGCATCATTCACACAAGCCAGTACATTTTAGGCCAGAAGTTCTGTCTCTACCCCACTGACGCTCGCGCGTTACGTCTTTCTCACGATATACCTTTACTTCCACCATCCCTCTGTCCATCCGTCCTGTCCCAAACACAGGAAGGCTCATCGCACACGGCCGATACACTGTTGGCCAGTATCTTCGCACCGACGTTCCTTTTGCCAGACAGCGATCACGTGATAGAAGGAGCCCATATCTCGCTGCTTAGTACTAAATAAATAACAAAACGTCTTCTCGGGTTATTCTAATACGCGAAGCGTACTAGATACACCTATCTAAAGAAAATGGGCATATTTAAGAAAGTACATGAGCAGACTGTTGTTGAACGCACAAATTATTGCAAATGGCAATCATATTTTTGTCTTGAAGGAAAAAAAAGAAAAAAAAACTCGCCGGCCGCTTCGTTCACGTGATTCCGCCGTAATTAAGCCGGGTTCAGTTGCAATAGTCACACGTGCAATAGCCACGAGGCGATCGCCCAGGTTGTCACCGGCGACGCGTCACCGCATATAATCGACACGAGAGCCGTCAAGAGAGACAGAGCTTCGGGCGAGGAAACCTGACTACTTTCATACATGCATTACGATGTTTGATGACTGTACCACTTTCGACGCGAGAATTGCTTTCATACCTTTTACCGGCGTTTTTTCTGGGTTCGTTTTGGGCTCGAGGAACAATTTCGTTGGTTGATTGCTAAGCCTTGGTTGCGCACAAGACGACACACAGAGAGTAGTGCAAGAGGGTGTGTGCGCGTGTGCGCACTTGGTCGCGACGAGCGCGCGAATTTCGGACGCAACGCGACGAATGACACGCGCCACCACGCCAGCCGAGGTGTCGAACACGCGCCCACGCCTTATTGCGGCGAAGAGTGAAAAATTCCGTTTTTTGGCAGACACCAAAAAAGCAGCTCCTAAAATGCGAGCGCCGCGCGAGGAGGAGACGCGCGCGTCTCGTGCGGCGCGTCTCGTCGCGCGCGCGAGCGCTCGTAATCACACAACAGATAGTGCTCAGCAAGGCGATGAACATCGGTCGCGATGCAGCACACTCACACACACGCGTACACTCACCTGCGCACACAACGCACGTACACACAAGACACGACACACGCACACACGCACCAGATCACACACGGGACACGGACACACGCAGTTTCGGCCAGAATCTAAAAGACACATCAAGGAAAAAAGTACAAGTTTATCACGTTGCGCCTTAACGTTAAAATTAAAAGTTGATCAAAAGAGATGAAAAAAAGTGAAGCGTATTCTTAACCAAAATCGGCCTTAGTATATACTTTTCCAGGGCACGTGGAAAATAACGGACGGGCGACCTTCCTCCTCGACCTACTTCCAATCCTCACTCTTTAGATTATATAAAAAAAAATGATATAAATATATAATATATATAATATATATACATGCATATTATATTCCGCCGGCGGTGGGAAGTTTCGAAACCTCGCAGCTAACTCAGCAAAACACCGAACCATCGAAAAAAAAAATTAAATAAATAAAATTAATAGATCTCTCTGTTCCCGCCGCGTCAGGTCGGATTCGAAATTCTCGCGGTTCGTGTCCACGTCGACGTGGAGTGAGAAAAGTCAAGCGTGCGTCGTGGGCGCGCAACCCGTCCTCCAAGAACCCCCTACCTCCCAAAAAATGCCCGGAAGGTCGCCCGTCCCCCTTTGCACGTCCCGATGTACCCCACGCTCCCCGCAAGGTGTTCCCCCCCAAAAAAGGAGAAAAGAAGTAAAGAAAACGAAGCGAAAAACACACCTATCCGGCGAGAGAAGGCGAGCCTTTCTCGCGCATAGAAGAAAAACACTTCCTGCATGTAACTAAAGCGACGACGCGAGTGGACGGGTCACCCGGGATTAGTGTAAGGACGCTCGTTGCTAAGTGAAAGCAAAGACGATGACGTGGAATGGAAGAGAGGAAGAAGCGGAGACAATTTTTTGATGCGGAAGATGGACGACTGTCGACTCGCCGTTCCCCGGCGGCCGGGGCCGATGGCAGAAAATTCGCAGAAAATCCGAGAGATTCGAAAAGCGATGCACGATGGGAAAAATGAGGTAAAAAATAAAAAAAAAAAGAAAGAAGGAAACGAAAGGAGGGAGAAAAACAAAAAACGCATACGCGCGCTGAGGAAGGATCGGTCGCGTATAAGTATCCATTTATATCTCGTCGCGTAGAGATCCGCGGTATTCCTTGCCATCCATATCTCTTTTTTCACGAGCGTATCTTCGTGAGACTCGACTGTGACGACTTAGGCGAAACGAGGAGGAACGCGATCGTAATCGATCCGCATTGTTGCACGCCACCGGAAAGAGTCTAGCGCAACGACGCATTCGACGAAGCTATGCATGCGACACACGCGCGAACGAATAGTATTACAGTGTTTTGCGATATTAATGCTGCACATGGAAAATCACTCCCTCGAAGCATTCCGAGCGAGCAAAACTCCATTAAACTCGCGAGAGCGATGTTGGTTGCTCGTAGCGGGCAAGAAGGGAATAAAGTGCAGAGAGCACACTACGTGCACTTGTGAAATTGATATTAATTTTCAACTTGTACTGCGAAACAGAACCAGAAAAAGCAAAAGATAATAAAATAAGAGAGAAAGGATAAAATATACACGTTAATCTCCGTTCGTCATTCGCGTTTGCACTTTTCTCTAAACGACCGCTTTGATTATCGAGCGATAAGCCACGCGAATCAGCTACCTAACCGTATTGTAGAGCCTGTTCAGCAGACAAAACAATGGGAATAAGTACGGCTAACGTTACGGGATCAACCGTCGTGTCGTTCAGACAACGGTGCTCCAATAATAACGTGCAGTCGTTACGATGAGAAGAGGAGAGGATGCCACAGCAATTATGCCGATTAATACTTTCCGACATTATACTGAGGAGCGCATGAAGCACACATGTAAACACACACAGAACCTATTCGAAGATCCGAAATATATAGTAATTGAGACAAATCAAGCACGCGAGGTATCGACGCATCGAGCCGAACACGCATACAGCATCGCAACGAATACGTCGAAAGGCGCTTTAGGAAAATACGATGCGCCTCGACCGAGCCGTAATGCCTCGCCAATTTCACCACCACCTTCGCTCGCGAAGAACGCGCCGCTACATGGTAATGATTGCCCGCTGGGTTATTATCGAGGCAGGTGAGATAATTATGGAAGCCATTATTGCTCATTCGGCCAATCGTCGATATCACACCGGCGAGAAATGTTACACCAAAGAGCGATAATAACATAGCGTAACCGACGGTTAATTGCGCCACGAGACGATGTCGGATACAGATGCTGCGCATCGCTGTTCAATGGGACACGGCTTATTCCATTAACGATATTACCACGGCGACAGGATCCTACTCTTTTTTATTCCACGCTCCGCCATAATGCTATCACCACCACTATCACCACCACCACCACCACCATCACCACCACCACCACCACCACCACCACCACTACTACCACTATCCCAGGCAGGCAGGCAGGCAGACAGACAGACAGACAGACACGTCGAGCCGATCGACGCCCGGTTTTCCGTTCCGTACCACTGTGATGCACCACTTACGTATCGATTCCTTCGTTTCGAACCAAGCGCCTCGGTTTCCCCCGCAAAGAAACACGGACGGCCGTGCGTGTGTAATTCGGAATCAATGCCAGCGATTACGCGCGTCCCAAACGACATCGCGAGAAGGAATATTTTTGCAGCGTGCACGCATCTTCTTTCAACACGACGCACGAATAGCGAGGTGACTTCTGGTCGTGAAGTGCCATAGCGCAAACCGGTCAAGACAAAACAACACCCACACCACCATCCCATAGCAATGACTTGAGTTTTTTCGCGTGTGAAGCAAGCGCTGCGCGCAGCAAACACATCCCTACGATGGGCGACTCAGCGACTCGGCAAGCGCGGCGGCATTACCACTCCAAGTGACGCGCATCGTACTTGTTCCGAGGACAAGATACTGGAAGCAACCATAGGACGATAGGGCGAGCACGAAGAACGAGATGGAGCGTCACGCCGGGACGAGAGAAATGGTCGCTGATCCCGTCAAATCGGCAGAACGTACCGACGCGACCGAACGTGCAGTCATACAAAGATGAAGAAGAAGAAGAAGGAAAAAAAAAAACAAACGGAGGATCGAGGAAAAGCGAAAGAAGCGAAACAAAATTCTCAACACGACCGTATGAGCCGACGCAGGCAAGGTGCAACAACCGAGATATTGACGTCAATGAGAAAAGACAGAAGAGAAAGAGAATAAGAAAAGAAACGAGAAAAAAGAATCGAATCAGACCTCGCCACTTGCAATTCGTTGAAGACGTGACGCGTTCTAAGCAATTCGCATAACATTTAGAAAATAATAAAAAAAAGAGAAACAATGAAACAGAGCGAGTACGTAAGAGGGAGAGAAAGGACGGGAGCGAAAGAGGAGTGTAAGAGGGAAAGAGAGAAAGAGAGAGCGAGCGAGCGAGAGAGAGAGAGAGAGAGAGAGAGAGAGAGAGAGAGAGCGCGCGAGAGCGAGAGAGCGAGCGAGCGAGCGAGCGAGAGAGAAAGAAAGAATGAGTGACACACATAATTGAAGAAAAAGGAATCACTGGAGATCCGCTATTCGACTTTCTGATTTTTCGCAGATTTTCGCGCGGGACAACAGGTGCGTCCCTTCCGAGACTTCACCCTGCCTCCCGTGACAACCCGCAGGAGCCCAGCTCATCCTCCTAACGCCCCTCCCGTGATCCTTCCCCACGTGAACAAGGTTTGCTTCCAATCCGTATCGCGTTATCGAAACCTAATAAACTATAAACTACCTAACAATAATAATTAAACGATAAAGGGGGTTAAGAGTATCGATTAATTAAATTATACCTAACGACTAATTAAATAATTAATGAGTAATGATACGTAACGATAATATGATTAATGATATATAGTATAAACGGTACGAGAGAGGCAACCCGGTACATGGTGGCTAAAAAACCATCCGCCGAGACGGAACGATTCCGCCTCGCCGTACGCGTGAGGGGTGTATCGACCGTGCATGGGACGTTGTCGCGCGGCGCTGCATCCGGCTTCCTTTTCGTTCGTGTCCGAATGGATTCGCGGACACGCCAGCCAGCGGGCCGATCGGCACATTCCCGTGATGTCGGCGATCGGCGGGATCCACCACCGTCGGAGAGTGGTCGTTTCTTACCCATCATTTATACGCGCTAGCTTGTAACTTGAGGACTTAAGTATAATGAGACACACACGAGGAGATACACACACATACAGCATTAATGATACCTAATGATATGATTATATTATTGATATAACTTACGATTATGAACTATCCTAGTGGTATTATACGACGACATAGTTGATTGATCTGTTTAATATTGAATGTCTGTAGATCACGGAGCGTTTGGAACTCTATGCTATCCGTTGAGCGTCCCGTAACGAATCCTCTACCGACGATCCTCCATGAACTCTACCCTTCCCGCGACCCCACTTTCCCCGCCGACCAAATATATATCGCGATCACAAACCCCACCCGAGACACCACGAGACTCTTAACATTGTATAAGCAGATCGCCCCGTCTTGAGCCGAGACACAAGATTGGATGCTATTACGGAGAACCGTGTTAAACCGTTAAATTCGATAAAATTAGGTAACGATGAGAGAAACGTGAAAAGGAAAGGTTGAAAAAAGAAACGCGTCAACAGATTGGATAACAAACCCCCGATTGAAAAAGAAAGAAGTGGGAGAGAAATAGAGAGAAGAGAGAAAGAGAGAGAGTGCTGGTGCCCGCGCGGAGGTGCATTATTCGATCGTTGACAACGCAAGAAAATATGAGCCACTACAAAGTACAACTCGTCTCCATAAAGCTCGTCGAAGCGCGTTTTTTTCCATGAAAGGCTGCGGTAAGGGACATAACATCGTTAAAACTGGTTTTCAGTTCCACGCATTCCCCGTGTGCCAGCGCAACGCAACACGACATACAGAACGTATAAAGTATTCTCGGCCATGCCGGTTTTATGTTCCAAATTCAATAAATCCACGCAAGCACCGCAACAGGACGACAGTGACGAGGAAGCTACCGCACAGCTTCCCCCCACATCCATCCCTATTCGTCTCTTGCTGTAACCGGAGACAAAACATGGAAATAACGCTTCGACGACAAGAGAGAAGGATAATTCGAGGTTCACACGTGACGTATGCTCACTGGCAACGACAAATTCTCAGTAAGACGGGTGAATCGCGCGTTCTCGCGAGACCCGCCCCACGCTCACGACATGATCGCAACGAAAAAGAAAATGCCCCTCGCAATAGACGTGTCAGAGATTGCAGTGGCATACGGTAATCACGTGGAGAATCGCCCCGAGAAAGGAAATACGTAACTCGTATATGCCTCCCGAGACAGAAGGCGAAACATTGAAAAGCCCTCCGCGCGCAGAGTATCGCTTGGGAGAGAGCGAAGGCCCGAGACGCAGAAGTGAAGGAAGCGAGGCCTAGAAGAGAAACAATTCTGCGAGCAACATCACCATCACCGAGCCCTCTGCCTCTGTTTTTGTATACACGCGTACCATGCGACGTTCGTCGACGAGAACCGGCCACCCCCGTGAGGGGTTGAAACCTACCGTCGCCATGTCGTGCGGCTGACGCATCATTCTTCTCGATCGACGTCCCCGACCATAGGTTCGCCTGATTGTTGAGTTTAAGTTTTATAGCGAGTACGTAGACGCGAAAGCGGCCGGGAGATATCCGCGGCTGGCGCGATAGGCCGTGCGAATCTCGTGGCCGAGCTGTTTCTCCCTGTCTCGAGTCGTCGGCCACGAGACGCACGCGTCGGACTGCCGCGGGTTGCCCGAATTGCCGTTGATTTTTTGTACATTCTGCAATAGCTTAAGTGTCGCCCCGATTATCGGACGAAAATGTGTTTTTTCGCATTGAACGCTGTTTTATTGCTAGGAAGTCTTTTTGAACACATCGAGTGCCGAGCCGTCGAGTATGTGCGCGCTTCCCCCTCGTCGCCGCCGCCGCCGTCGAGCGGAGATTCGGTGCTTCGTTGTGACGCCTCTGTTGTATAGGGTAGATGTGAAGTATAGCTAGTTACGTTCTGTTGTTTCTCTCTGGGTTTGTTAATACTGAAGTCGTTGAGACGCGTCGGTTGAACGCCGCGAGGTCCACCCGCTGTGATGAAGAATTAATTGCCCGTTTGTTTCGTTCCTCGGAAGCAGCGCAGCTCGCGACATCGAGGAGGAAGGCGCGCTCGCACCCGGCACTCGTTTACCGTTTGGAAAAGTCCGCACTCGGACGGATCCACCCGGCTGTTGTATAGATTACGCCGTTATCAGAGGGTGCCACGGACAGTAGGGGAAAGCAGTATTACCAGTTTACTTAGGAACGATCTCTAGGAGCCACGCATGAATCGCGGAACTGTAACACGAACGCGCCGGTCGAGCGAGAACGATGGTCGTTTCCCTCGGGGAAGGGAAAGCACCTTCCTCTACTTCGCCGTTGTATGTCTCATCGGCGAAAGAATCGAAAGAAAGAGTTAGAGAGAGAGAGAGAGAGAGAGAGAGAGAGAGAGAGAGAGAGGGAGAGTGAGGAAGAGATCGACTTGTCCGTCGACGATGACGACCCCGCAATTCGTGCAGTAGTGGAAGTGCGCGGGGCGCCTGCTTCGCCGACCCGATCGTTCTCGCGCTCGATCCGCCGGCTTCCGGTTCTACGCTCTTCCACGCCAGTGAGCAATGTTTCCTTCTCCGACGGAATTCTTCAAGAGAGAATAACAAAGGAACGATATTCACACGTACACACACCGTACACGCATCACCGTACACGCAGACTCTTCACGTTTATAACCCCAGTGCCCGTAGTCCGCGAGCGAGCGGCTCGCGACTTCAAGTACCCGTCGAAGACCACGTCGACAATTAGCCGATCAATCTGACTCGATCGCGGACACGATCCCTCCGCGCTTATGCTGTCGACCGGTTTTCAGTTTCTCTCCGTTCTCTCGCAAGGATGCAGCGAACGCAGGTGTAGCGTCGCGACCGTCGTCGAATACTCCGACGATCGCGAGCACGACTTCACAGCACGGAGCGTTTCGCAATTAAATCGCACGCAATTAATTTTCATGTCTTCTACCGGATGAAAAGCTTTCAGTTACAGTCGCCATGTACACACTTATCTGACGCTGATTCACACGCTGATCCTTGCGAGCCGCAACAAGTGCCAACGGGGTCGGACTCGTACCGCGCCGCCTCGTATTCCGATTTCCGACATTTCGGACGGAACGACCGGTTTTGATTTCTCGAAATTACATCACGCCGATGACGTTGCGCGACGTGATCCCCGCCGGGCACGCGAGCTCGCCGCCGCAGGGCGCGCGCGCGACTGCGGGCACAAATAACCCCCGATGACTGTTAAGTTTGGCCTGGGCAAAGTCAGGCGAGCGTCGGGCCGGCTCTCAATTTTGAAATAGCCATTTCGACTTAAGCGAAAAAAATGAACAGACCCCCAAAACCCGACGCAATAGAGGAAGGCAACCGGATCAAAATAACCGCCACACGAATCAACAGTTTCTCGCGCGGGGCCCGGCCGCGGCTGCCACCAAGATATCTCCGCTTAAGATTATAACCCCTGTGCCCGTCCCACCCCGTCCCATCCCCTCCCGCCCTAATTACCCGTGATCACCCCGTGCTAGCGACGGGGGTGCATAAGGCTCCCGTGGGCCCGCAGCAAAAGTACGCCAGGCGTGCCGCGGCCACGAAAACCACGTGGATTCGGGCCCCGCGCCCACTCTCACTCACAGCACACACTGGGCCGACTCGTCCGATAGAATGTGCCTTCAGTGTTGATTTTATACGAAAAAAATACTAAAATTATACAAAGGGGCCCGACATAGACCGAACGCCCACCCAAAGCCTGACTGGTGCTCGCCCGCTGCCCGTTTATTTCGTCCAACGCCGGTTACGCGCACAACACCGACAGGACAGAAACAAATACGCGGACAAGAACGCGAGCGACGGAGCTCGTGAGGTCGAGAGGAGCGTTCAAAACGAGCGGCCGCCACCGATTCGCCGTACGTCTTCAAGATCGGCGTCGTAACTCGTAACTCGATGTGAGCATCGACGACGACGAATCGACAAGACGAATTATCGAGAGCGCGGCTCGTCGTCGTCGTCGTCGTCGTCGTCGTCGTCGTTATCGTCGTCGTCGTCGTCGTCGTATAAGGGAGGGCCTCTTGATATCCTCAGTACAGTGACGCGCGCGCACGCGCGAACGGCATGAAAGTTCGCCGATTACCGTAACTCGTATCGGGACCACGCGTAAAATATATCAAATCAAGTAGAGTGTGACGTTCTCTCTGTTGTTAATCCAACGCGCGAGCAACGCGCGAGCGGTCAGCGACGTCTTGCGCGCGTTTCCACGGCGAATCCACGAAGCGCGCGATATACCGCGATGCCTCGACCTCGCGTCAGCGCGCCACCGGGAAGCGTCGGCGCGCCGAACGAGGTCACGGCAATCCCATGGGCATTATCGTCCTCGCGTGACACGCGTACGCTTAATAAGATACCTCCGAGACCAGGAGCACCGAGCTGTGCCGCACAGTAATTGTAACGCATGTATCGCGACGTATGAAAGATTCGCGCGCACTTCGCCGGGAAACGCGCTCCGGAGCAACGAAACGCATCCTCGGGAGCGGCCCGTCCGTTCCTCCTTTCGACCTCGGGATCGTACGCTCGCGGCGACGTGCCGCGTGGAAGAGCAGAGTCGCGCGTTTCGCGCGCGCGACGAGGCTGTTCACGTACACACACGCACACACAGAAAGAGAGAGAAAAAGGGGGGAATGAAAAAGAGATAGAGAGAGAGAGAGAGAGAGAGAGAGAGAGAGAGAGAGAGGGAGAGAGGAAGAGAGAGAGAGAGAGAGAGAGAGAAGGAGGAAGAGACACTTAGACACACACGCACACGCTACCTACCCACGCCCCATAAAAATCTTTTGGTTCGTGCAAGGAGTTCGGAACGCTGCTATGCACCGATAACACACACACGTGTATTGATTAAATGCAATTACTATGCGATAAGTATAATTACATAATATATATGTGTACTATGGTCTCTCCCACTCCCCATCAAAGTAACCCGCATGCCGCGCTTCGATCCTGCGACGATCGACGATCGCCGGTAACGCGCGCTGCGACGCTCTGCTCCGGAACCGGATGCGCCCGCCGCGCATGCGGCGGAGGCCGCAGGAGTCGTTCAGGATCGAGCGGCGCGTTGCGCCCGGATTGCCGCGATCGCCGCACCACCGCGCGCGATCGACGCACGGTGCCGCCCACACACTCACCACGATCCCCGTGAGATTCCCTTAAGACTCCCCCTCCCCCCGCTCCCCCGTCCCCAAATACAAGCGTAGAATTTAACCACATTAACTATGAATGACGAGAGCTACGTAAGAGCTAACTAACTAACTACAATTAAACTTACTTAATTATTAACAATTAAACAAACAGTAAAGCAGTATAAACAGTAAACGCCCAGTAACCATTGAATTGTGTGTCGACAACTACATACTAACTACCTACCGTATATCGAAGTAATAGCCGTATGTAAAAGAAAAGAAAAAAAACTTGTATTCTACCAGTTGTATCAGCCAGTCCAGTTCTAATAAGCAAGCGATTAAAAGTAACCCGATACCCGGTTTTAAGTCCCACCCGAACCACCACCTCCATCGTCCCCACCACCCTTCTCCCCCGAGCCCTCTCTTCAGTGGATTACCCGATTATCCCTCTTTAGCCCCGGTAACTGTCTCACAGCCCGATTACCGATTATCCAAGAATCCTTCCTTGCGGTAATTAACGGTGGATCTAATCGCGAACCGTCAACGCCGTCATTACTACTACCACCATCGCTACCACCACCACCACCACCACCATCAACCTTCATCACCAACTCCGCTGAAGCCCCATAATCAATTCTCCGGAATATAATCCAGTCAGTATAAAGAACCCGCCGGATAACGTATTTACCATTAGTGTTTTTAGTAGACAGACTCACATAATGAAAAAGACTTCGTTTACGATTGTACGCACACGTGTGGGGAGACCATGTAACTTTAGCTCCGCCGCTCATTAAAAGGCCGTCCATGCGCTCGCGATCGGCGGCGAGTCGCTGCGAACGAGCGAGTCCTACACCGCCGCTCGACGATCGGCTCGAGATCTCGAGAGCGCGGGTCTCTTCCTGTGCGGACGTCCCTTTCTCATGGGACCTCGACGTCGCGCGTCGATCGGATCGTGTCCGACGCCGCCGCCGTGCGACGACCGCGACGCGTCCATGAGCACCGATCGCGAGCGCGGACGCGCGCGAACGCCCCGAAATAACAACCACTCAGCTGGTGTTAGCAGCTAGCGCCCTTTTCGATTCCCCATAACCGATGTCCCTCGACGTCCTCTCCACCCTCGAACCACTCACCGGAAACACCAACTATCCCCCTGACCCCGACCCTCATCCAATCGCAACCCCTCGATTCCCTACGTGTTGTATTTATCCGTTATTTTCGATATAATATTATATATAGTATACTAATGATATTTAATGATAATACGACGACGATAAGGTATGGGAGACGTTTGGTCACACACAAAAAAAAAGATAGGACACCACACGGATTACGCCATCCTCACACGACCATTCGATCGAACACAGGACAGAGACATTTTACACGAGGAACACACGTATATACACTGGCACACGCATACGCACACAGTAACAGGTATCAACAGTAATAGACAGACGTAACAGCAGAAATAAAAAAAAATTGATAAACAGAACACTAGTTGCCGTGCAGTTTGTGAACAAAAAAAAAAATAAACAAGTAATGGTAACCACCGACCTACCCGCGGGTCCGCTTCGTTCTTGCCTCGTGAGACTGGGTCGCGCGTTCTCCGCGCGCGGATCGAGAGGGTACGCGGGACCGTTCCTCCTCTCAGAGAACGGCCCGCTGAGCTCGCGACCGTTCCCCGACGAGGGATCCCCGACGACCGGGCTCTCTCACCCGGCAGAGTGATCGACGACGACCGTCACGAGGAGACGCGCGCGACCCGGGCTCACCGACGGGGCTGAATCTGCCTCAAAGCGTAGCTGAACATTTTTGTACAGGAGTTAAACGAGATGCATTAACTGGATGTAAAATCTTGAGTTACAGAGCAGCACTATACATACCACACAGATGATGTATATATTTTTACGTTACAGAATATGCCTGCGCTTTAACAGACAGGCGCCATAAGACTGGTTCTCATTTCCCATGACAATGCGTATATACATGCCACATAAACTTAACAAGAAAAAAGACCCTATATTGTAATGATAAAACTTAATGATATTTGTATACAGTATACCGCCTGGTGCCGCCGCGACACGGCGACCAGTTTAACACACACACACGCCATGGTCAACGAGACTGGGGCCCGCCCGCTCGCAACACGGTGACAATCCGGACGGGACTTGCGGATCCGAGAGATCGACCCGCGGAGCGGGATCGGAGAGTCGGACGCGGAGGTGATCCTTCTCGCGGCTCGCTGATGAAAATCAAAACGATCCAACGATCGACGCGCGTGCGACCCGATGCGCGGGTCGAGTGAAGCTCTCGGATCCGACGCACGGCGACGCGACGACGGGCGCCGCCGTCGCGAGGTCGTGCGTCGAACAGGAATGAGGAAGCGAAAGGGAAGAATTGGCCCTCGAATTCGCGATAACCCGTGCGTTTTACTACACCGTGGAAATTAACATCCTGATTTTCTCATTAGGCCGTTATATCCATCGAGCTCTATTAACTCGTACCGGGGAAAACGAAAAACTAAACAACCACCAAAAAGTGCACAGTACGACCGACCGTGTCGTCGTCGACTGTTTGCGAGGACGGTTGCGAAGGGATGTAAGACGATCACACAGCCCAGGAAGTGTTGCCTGCGGGTACCCCGACAGAAGCATAACGCGGGTAGGAGTTTCTAAACAAGAATTCCCGACGTGCCCGAGTGGCTTCGCGACTCGGCTCGCGGGAAGGTCCTAATTTTCCAAAAAAAAAAAAAAAACAAATTTAAGAATAATAAACACTAAAAATCCATACTCGAGGTTCGTCGACGTCCGTGCGATCGACCGATCGAGTCGACGAGAAGGCTTCGACACGCGCCACACCACGCGATCGATGCCTCTCCATCGATGAGAAAATAAACAAAAAAAAAGGGAAAAACCAAATAAAGAGCAAAAGTACGGGCCTAAGCGACGAGAGTACGGTACTCCCGCGATTCAGCGCGCGCGCGCGATCGATCCTCCTCGAGAGCGCCCTCGTCACCGATTGGTCGATTCTTCGCGCCGACGGACGACGGACCGAGAGATATTCACGACACACATTTGAGTTGCAGTGCAAGCGAACATCTGTAGAGCCATATACGTATAGTATGTTGTTGTATCTTAAATGATGAAAATGATGACAATTAAACGTAGTAAGTGTACATTTTTATAAAGGTCGCGGTTGCATTTCGAAAGATAAAAAAAGATACGTTAGATGCGGCAGACAAAAATAAAGGAGCGTCATATTCGTAGCAAGGAATCATGATAATAATATTAATTTGAGGAAAAAGAAGAAAAGAAAACGAGAGCGAGAAAGGGAAAAACGAGCGAGAGAGCGAGAGAGAAAGGGAGAACGCGAGAAAGAGAGAGAGAGAGAGAGAGAGAGATAATGGATGATCGTGAGAGCGCGATAGTGAGTGCGAAAGAGGGAGCGAACGATAAGGAGAGCGAGAATACGGAGGCGTGTGACAGCCAGAGAGAGAAAGGCAGAGTATGTGTGTATGTACGTGTGTGAATGTGCGATAGCGTGAGCGCGACAGAACGAGCGCGATAGAAGCGAGACGAAGGGAGGAAATGACGAAATGTCGACAGACAGAGGTTGAATCCTATTATCGCGATTGGCGGCTTGGTCACCGGCGGCCCCGTCCGTAATGGGTGCAAGTAACGTTTAGGTGTATAAAAAGAAAAAGAATTAAAAAATATCGACTTTATCTATCCTCTCGTGGTTTTTAGGATGTTCTAAAGAAGTTATTGTAAAAAGACAGAGAGAGAGAAAGAGAAAAAGAGAGAGAAGTACGAAAGATCTATTATAGAAGAGGAAAAAGTGTTACGAGTGCATTGGGAATCGAGCGGGTCTTAACGAGCGTATTTTGCGGGAGTGTACTTCGGAGGAACGAGTAAATTGTGTGCGAGAGGTGACGAAATACCGAGGAGGGGGAGAGAAATTTATTGTACATTTTTCGGAAACGCTTCGGTCGCGCCCGGTGACCGCGCCTCGATCTCGATGCGGGCTCGAAATATCGAGGGCGCCAAAACGTATCTAACGGGCGGAGGGAGACATCGGTGATCTCTGACGAGCGAGGATTTTTACCTCGTGTCGTGATTGAACGATCGGGGTCAGAGGTCACGACTGTGTAAATGTCTCCCCCCGCGACGACGACGACGACGACAAAGAGGTATTACCTAGGCTTTCCTGTCTCGCGGCCCATTCGTCATGTGCAACAACGTTTGCACGATTTCTCGGCAAAGCAGTGGTCGAACGAAAGTGACAAAATCGTGAACGCTAAAAACGCGCTTTGAGAAAACGAAGCAAAAAGAAAACGGACGATCTCTCTGTTCGCAAAACACTTGGCGCCCCCGTTTATTTGGGCCGAGAACACGCTTGTTTCGATTTCGAAATCGATTATGTCTTTTTTATATATTTTTGGCAAAAATACGTCAGTACCATTTAAGAGCGCCACCAAAAGAGATAGAAGACGTAAACGAAAATGACGAGAAATCGACAGGTGGCGGAAGCGTATCGCATCCGTGATTTGTAAAAATTTCGTCAGATCGGAAGTTTACGGTGACGAAGGATAGGGTGGTAGAGAATGAGCGAGAGAGGGAGAGAGAGAAAGAGAGAGTGTGCGTGCGTGAATGTGAAGAACACGAGAGTGCGAGAGAAAGAGGGGGAGAGAACGGGACAGGAAAAAACGCGGTGGTAAAATAATATTTAAATATTCGTATCAAAACAAAAAATGTGTAGGGCCTCGAACTACTGGCGACCGAATAAGACAAGGGAGACACGAAAAGATGCGAAACGAGATAGAGAAGGCGTGAAAGAGAGGCCGAACTACTAAAAATATTTATAATATACGGCTACAAGTACAAATTACTTCGACTACTGAGCGTAGGTGTATTGATGTGTGAACAAAATTTGGTTGGCCGATGACCGTTTTTGAAACCATCATACTGCGTATCAAAGTATGTAAAATTTATTGAATAAACGCTAGCGTATTATGATATAATGTAATCTAATAATGTAATATTGTAATGACGAATCTAAATGATGATGTTACCTTGAAGTTTAGAAGCGCGCGTGAGAGTGCACGTGAATGAAAAAAAGAGAGGACAAAAGAGGTTATTGTGCATACGAAAAAAAAAAACAAATTACACCTTTATAATGATTATCGGTATAATTACTATTATTATTGCGATTAACTATTGTCAGTAATCCACCACCTACTATTTATTGATATTGTTCGTTATGACGGTTTCGTCCAATCCCCTCCCCCAATACCGTATACGTTACGTTATTACTACCCTATCACGATTATAATTGTCACCGTTGTCATTATTACGGCGATTGATTGTATTATTGTACGTACATGATGCGTGACAGCGAAACGATATATAAGTTGTTCACAATTTCGAGACACATATACGTTCTTGGCAAACTATACAAAAAACGAAGAGATCGACTCGAGCGCTTAAAGTGAGAAGATATTAAGATCGACTGATGCGAGAGAGTGCGATTGCGCGCGTAAGCGAAAAAGTGAGAGAAGGTGTATGTGTGTGTGTGTGTGTGTGTGTGTTGTTATGAAGATTGTGGAAAGGGAGAGATGTCGAAAGAATGTGATGCGAAAGAAAGTGAGCGTGATGGGTAAAGAATGACGGCTGTACAAGTGCGTGCGAAGGTGACGTCTGAAATGAGAGAGCAAGTGGAAGTCTGCAAGAGAGAGAGAAAGAAAGAAAGAAAGAGCGAGTGAGAGTGAGTGATCGAGACCGGAAGAGAGTGTGCGAGAGGTTTTTAGCGCGAGGGAGAGGGAAAATTCACACACTAAAATTACTCGCACGGGGACAAACGTCCGACGGTCTGCGCGGCGCGACGAACACATACCGAAGCGTGCACAAAAGGGAAAATCACACACTCGCGGTATTTCGGTCGTCGAGCGACGGGGAAGGGAAGGAGATAATAACGTAGGGGGACTAAAGGATAGCACGAGGCTATTTTCCGAATCAAAGCGAAGATGAGAGAAAAATTCCTATAAGCTCGCCCGCATCCGGCAGCGACGCGCTTCCCGCGCCTCACGAAATTCTATTTTTGTAAGCATATTTCTATAAAGGTATACTAACGATACGGCAAAATTTATTATTCCTAGTGTGGTGAAAATGAAAATTGAACGTTTAGATTTCGTTAGTATAGTGTAAAGATGAAAAAAATTAACGATGTCTAGGTCCTATTCGTGTACTTAAAGGTGAACTATAAGGAGAATAAAATTATATCGTCGGCGGCGTCGTAGGTTGTAAAATTGTACATAAATTATTGCAAGAGGAGGCGCGGTGGGTTTGCATCGCTGGCACGCGCTGCGCGGCTAGTTTTCCTTATATATCTTTGGCGCTTAATATAAAGGGGGAGACACACGTAGAGAAGACACCTCTTTCGGCACGACAGTCAAAATTCGCGTCTCGCAGTCGCGACAGACCATCGGCCGTACCTCGGACGTTCCTAGATATATATTGCGGCCGTGAGACAAAGTGTGGTTCGACATTATTTCGTCGCGAATCGAACCTAAAAGAATATTAACAAAAACTAACGGAGAGATAGGATGATAGGAAGAGAGATTGCGAGAGAAGAAGCGAGTGAATGAGGGAGAAAGAGAGAGAGAGAGAGAGAGAGAGAGAGAGTAAGGGAGAGAGAGAAAGAGAGAGAAAGAGAGAGAGTGAGAGAGAATAATCGCCCTCCCTTCTCAAAGCCCGAGAGTGAATTCGACGACGATGCACTGCCGCTTTTTGAAGCAAAGAAGAAACAAAATAATATATATAAATATAAATATATTATATTATATATAGATATATAAATATATAGATAGATAGAGGCACCAAAAATGGCAGAACGGAAATCGTGCGAAATTCCGCGCGCGGCTGGACGAAACGCGGAGGGCGCCTCGTGCGAATTTCTTTCGTTTGGAGTTTCGATTTTCTTTCTCAGCGTGCACTCCTCGCGACCAGGTGACGAGACACATTCAGTTTATTTCTTTCGACGAGCGGCGCCTTTTCTCTGGACACGTTGAACATGTTATTATGATTTTCCATTTTGTCTCTCCATCACACAAGATATTTTCAAAGACGATTTACCGTGAATAGACGACGCGAAGAGGGAGTAAATGCATATCGACGAGAGAAAGAGAGGTCCGCGGTAAGAGAGGGAACTAAAGACGCGTGGAAAGGAATGATGACAATAGAGGCGCGCGCTCTCGCGCACGCAAGGGGATGCGAAAAGTAAGGGTGGAAAATACCGGGTATATACCGCGATTCGGAATCGGGCGATTCGCTCAATCTCACGTGGCTTCCTTTACTCGGAGTCGAGTTCAATTCCGTAGATATACGCGAGTACATCGGCATATCGAGATAGAAAGGGAAAAGAAAGAGAGGAGAGCGCACGCGGAATGTTAGAAAGTAAGACAGGGAGGGAGAGAAAGGCGGGCGGAAAGAACGTGTGGGCGCGTGTATGTGACAGGGTGTGAAAGAGAAGAACGAAAGAAAGTGCGAGAGTGAAAGAGTGCGCAAAATGAGAGAGAGAGAGAGAGAAAGAGCGAGAGAAAGAGAGAGAGAGCGCCAAAGAGAGTGAGAGGGAGAGAGAGAGAGAGAGAATAAACGAACACGAGAGAGTAAGAACGAGAGTGAGAAAACAAGAGAGAAGACACAAGAGTATCGTAGTACACGGAGACACGCACACATACACAAACCACACACGCGCAAACACACGGAA